GAGTATTATGGCAAGCCAAGTGTCTCATTAATAGGTAAAAGTGGCTATTAATGAGACACTTGGCTTGCCGTACAAAGCCACATTTGCCTCACTCTGGAACTCCTGGAGCAAACATCAAAACAGCTGCATTTTGCCGCCCAGCTGATTTGACCATTAAAGTTCATTTATTAAGGAAACGTTGAACTGAGACACACCTTTGCTATAATTTCGAGCAAACAAATAATTGTTTTTAAATGTTAATCTTGTTAAAGTCCTCCCGTGCACGCTCCCGCGGCCGCCATTTGTCAGCCAATCGATGTTTGGCACAACATCTGGGTGGTCAGCGGTGACTCATAACAAACACGACGCGTCAGCGGTGACGCATAATAGATGCGACTTATATGGCGAAGCGACGTGTACGGTGGAAATTACGGTATAGTTGATTTATTACTGTAAAACATTTGTTCTTTACAGATGGGCTGGTCAAAAGACTAGAAGAGCTGGAGAAAACAGCAGAACTTTATAAAGGTAAATATTCAAATTGTAAAAGTAATATGTGCTCCAACTGTTTTTCTTGTTGAGTGACCATCTTGGAAACCGCTGTGATTAGTTTTAGTTAAATGGGTTCAGTTAAAATGAGTTTGTTTGGTTCAGATCAGTGTCTTCTTGCAGGACTGATGGAGCACACCAGGAGGCTGCTCCGAGCTTTCTTTGAGCTTTCTCAGACTCACAGAGGTCTGTTCCTCAATTTAATAACGTACTTTTAGAATAAATACTAATGAACTGTGATTTCTTTCAATTTTTTTAAAATTTGAGTAGCAGGAAGAAAAAAAAGATAAATGAATCATCTTCTCGATTTATCTCAGATTTATTTATTTATTTTTCCCCTAATTTAAAAGTGTTTTGTGCCGTAGTGGGTAAATGTCACATTAGCTGAATTTACTGATCATCTACTGCCAGTTCTTCATACAGATTAGCTTTTATTAGCTTTTATTCTGTAAAACAGAAAATAGCCGTTCATTCTAAGTTAAATAAAAAAATAAAAGCCACACTCATTTTTAACATCTGAATGTGTTGAGTGTATAAGAAGTATTTTGTTTAGCTTTTGTATCTGACCTGATGTTGTGTTCTCAGCGTTTGGAGATGTTTTTTCTGTCATCGGAGTCAGAGAGCCTCAGGCTGCAGCCAGCGAGGCGTTCGTAAAGTTTGCTGATGCTCACAGGAACATTGAGAAATACGGAATTAAGCTTCTAAAAACCATCAAGCCTGTAAGTGCAGATCAACTCTGTTCCAGCGCACAGAGGGAAAAACTGTTTTTACGCTTGACCAGTCGTCGTCAACCATCTTCACTTATTTTATTAAACTTTATAAACACCTCGGCTGTTCTTCTTAAAACATTATCAACCTGTTCTGTTTCAATGTGCAGATGCTCCATGATCTGAACACTTACCTCCACAAGGCCATACCAGACACCAAGCTGACCATCCGAAAGTACCTGGACGTGAAGTTTGAGTACCTGGTGAGGCCTCACTCTGTGCTTTTCTGTTTTTATGTACAAGACAACATGTTGGCGTCTCCTGTAGATGTTCTGAACCTCCTGTGTGTTTCAGTCGTACTGCCTGAAGGTGAAGGAAATGGACGATGAAGAATACAGCAGCATTGTGAGTGTCCATAAAGAGTTGAATTTAAATTAGTAACAAAATTGTGCTTTTTAAATCCAATAATCAAGACTGACTCTTAAAAAAGTTTTCTTCTAAAGTATGAAATCCATCCACCTTCCACCACTTACCTGTAGTCGGGTCGTGGAGGCAACGGGACCAGGAGAGAAACCCAGACCTCCCTCTCCCCAGCGACACTTTCCAGCTTGTTCTGGAGGATCCCTCTAGCATTCCTAGGCCAGAGACGATACACCATCCCTCCAGCACTTCTGGGTCATCCCTGGGGCCCCCTACCGATGGGATGTGCCCAGAAAACCTCCAGAGGGAGGTGTCCAGGAGGCATCCTGATCACCCTCGTCTGCCACTCCACAGGTGTTGTCCCAGTCCTCCATGTAACATTGAAGAGACGTGTCAACCATGACAGTCCCACAACATCCAGAGCCTTCAGCATCTCGGGGCGACTCTCATCCACGCCTGCCCCCCCCCTCCGCCCCCGAGGAGCTTTTTGACCATTTCGGTAGCCTCTGCCATAGTAATGGACTCGTCTTCCCCCGAGTCCTCAGACTTTGTCTTCTCAAAGGTGGACATGTTGGGTGTATTAAGGAGATCCTTGAAGTCCTCCTTGCACCGTTCATCAGTATCCTCAGTTCGGGTCAGCAGGTCCCAAATCAAGCACAGCCTGGGGTAGAGTCCGCTGTCCTTTCCTGGGTTGCTGAACCGTTTACAAGAACTTCTTTGAGGTCGACTGAAAGTCCTTCTCCCTGGCCTCCCAGAATTCCTCCCATGTTCAAGTTTACCCTGTACCTGTCAACAGTTTTAGGAGTCGTCCGGAACAACCAAGCAACCCTGGAGGCCTCCTCCTTCAGCTTGATGGTCTCCATCACTGCTGGAGTCCACCAGCGGGTCCTTTGGTTGCCTCCCTGAAAGGCACCAGTGACCTTCAGGCCACAGCTCCTGGAAACTGCATCTGCAATAGAGGTCCTGAACATGGCCCATTCAGATTCTATATCCTGACCTCCCCCAGGACGTGTGAAAAACTCTGCTGGTGGTGTGAGTTGAAAGCTGCACAAACCACGGGCTCCACCAGACATTCCCAGTTCACACTCATTGTGAGTTTGGGTTTACCAGGTCTGTCTGGCAGCCTCCCGCACCACCAGATCCAACTCTCCACCAGGAGGTGATCAGCTGACAGCTCTGCTCCTCTCTTCACCTGAGTGTCCAAGACCTGGGGCTGCAGGTCCAACGACACGATTACAAAATCAATCCTTGACCTTTGACCTAAGGCGGTCTGGTACCAAGTACACTGATGGACCACGCTTTGCTCAGACATGGTGCTTGTTCTGGACCATGCCTCACACAGAGTCCTTCAACTGAACACCACTCAGGTTCGGATCAGGGATCACGTTTTTCTGTTTAAAAGCAAAGAAAAACTAAATGGATTCCTGTTTATTTATTTATTTTTTACCTCCCACTTACAAAGTAACTTAAAGACCATTGTGTTAGCAGAATAATTCTGTGGTGTTTGAGCTGAGATGTGTTTTTATTGTATTTTTTTTACATGTTATCGTATTAAATTAAGTTACAAAGATGTTTCTGTGTTCGCTCCTTGCATGTTCGATCAGTGTTTCGTGTTCTGACCTCATAAATGTGTAAACAGGCCATGGGGGAGCCTCTTTATCGGGTCAGCACCGGTAACTACGAGTACCGTTTGGTGCTGCGGTGTCGACAGGAGGCCCGCGCTCGCTTCGCTAAAATGAGGAAGGACGTTCTGGAGAAGATAGAGCTGCTGGATCAGAAACATGGTTTGTTTTATCTACTCTTCGCTTTTAATCTGTGTTTAATCTGAATAGCATGTGTGAGATAACGGCTTCATCTGTGACTCGTCTCTCGCTGCAGTTCAGGACATCGTGTTCCAGCTGCAGCGCTTCGTCTCAGGCATGTCCCATTACTACGACGAGTGCTACGCCGTTCTGAAGGAGGCCGACGTGTTCCCCATCGAAGTGGACCTGTCCCGCACAACAATCAACTACAGCAGCCAGTCCTTTTCATACACAGATGAAGAGGAGGAGGAGGCAGGGGGCAGAGAGGAGGGGGGAAGCAGACAAGAAGAGAACGGCACAGAGAAACTGATCGATGACGAATGAGACTGTGTTTAACTCACACACTCGCCGAGCTCTGCTCTTTGTACGGTCAAACACTGTTGATAAAACTTAACGCCTATTGTTGCTGCTACGTTCGCTTTTTGACATTTGTCATTATTTTACTGTATTTTACGTCGCATGCTTTAACTCCACTATACATTTAAGAACATTTTCTTTCTGCGACGGGTGAGTTTACAGTTTATTTCATAGTAAAGGGATTTTATCACTGCAGAGTTTGATCTTTAAGCTTTTCCACATGTGCCTTTGTTTTTTTCTGTCTAAGATGAAATTTAATTTGTGTATGGTGTTTGTGAGTCAGCGATTTATTGAATGTCATACCTTTGTATTTATTTTCTGTTTTATTTGATGCACTTTTTGTTCACAAATAATTAATTTAACTGTCAATTGTCGTTAAGGGACAACACAATGCAACAACTTTGAATTCCTCTCACACATGAAATATTTATTATATGAAGCCGTCATGTTTTTTATTTTTTATTATTTAAACTTTCTTTTCTTCCTGGAAATAACATGCTTTTCCAACAACTTTCAACTGCAATTTAGTAAAAAATTGTTTCTGCAATTAAGTTTACTGTTTCTTAACGTGAGCTTCAAGTTGAAACAATATCTTTTTCATTATTTCTGTACATTTGTTTTTTTCTAAATGACACTATGCTTTTACATTCCACTTGTACCTTTCTTCCCAATAAAACTAGACAAAAGAACAAGATCAGGGTCTTGCATGAAAAACTTCACAAAGACTTCAGGTGTTTTAATGGAGAAACGGTTCACAGAGTCTGGTTTGGACCTCCTGCTGTTTTGTGTTTAGTTTTTTTTTCTTCTGTTTTTTAGAATTTGATCTAATCACCGAGGCAAGATTTGTTTAAACTTCAAGGAATGACGTGACGATACATTAATATCTTTTATGACCAGAAGATGGCAGTATAGTACTACGAGTACATAATTTTTTGTTTTACGTATTTATTTTAAACCTCGGAGGTTTAGATCGGAGGGATCTTTGTTTTTTTTGTCCACTGACCATTCCTGAATAAAAATTGCAACATACTGATTATTGTGGTTTTTTAATTTGGCCCTCAGCAATGAAAAATAAAAAAATAAACCTGCTTGGAGTTGTTCCTGTTTGTTACTTACGTAAAATATTCCTGACCACTAGGTGGCGCGCTATGCCTCGTTTCACAAGTATATTAAATCTTTTTGACGTTTCTGACGCTTTATTTCTGCAATGCGTTGATGCTGTGTTTGTGACATGAAAAAAATACGTAAATAAAATAAAATTTGCCTAAACACATTGTATATTATCTGATTATTTTATAATAAGTATAGAGGTGTGTTGCCCATCACTAACAGCGCCCCAGTGGCCTAATGGATAAGGCACTGGCCTCCTAAGCCAGGGATTGTGGGTTCGAGTCCCATCTGGGGTGGCTTGATTATTTTTCAAACTAAAGTGTGAATTCAATTTATGCCTGACATGTTTTTTCCGCGTGCTTTACTCAGGCATTCATTTATAAATCGTTTTCCCCTCCTTCCTCCATTCCCTGAGCCAATCAGGAACCGCTCCCGTGACTCGGGCTGCTGTCTTGGACTTTCCCTCTGAAACAAAACATTTCATTTTGTCTCCGCTTCCACTTCGTTTAGTTGATTGGTTTCTTCATGCTGCGCCAATCTTAACTTCTTTTTTATTATTATTATCGCTGACATGGTTTTAATAACGAGGCTGCATGTCTTCTTTTTACTTCCTATGGTTTCGACCTTCGCAGCTGACGGTAAGTGGGATAATCCCTGCTGGTTATCTGTGGAGCTTTGGTGCTCGGGAGATTTGACTTGTAACTGTTGCATAATGGCTCAACTTGTACATGCAACATTTTATTCATACATTTTACTTTTACTCAAATATGTAAAGTAGCCTAAAATGATTGGACATGACAGCTGAAAATACTCAAAGTAAATAAAAGAGTTCATTTTCTGTCAAGACTGCTCTAATGATCCACTTCAGCTAATCTAAATGTGCATGAATGGCACAAGTATGGATTTACTGAAGTCATAATAAAACAAGTTTTAGCCCTGTAAAACTCAGAAGTAGTTCTCGTTTTAAAAGATAATTTAGAGAATTGCAGTGTTTGACATTAACATTGTTTTGTTTATTTCTTCTTCTCTGTTGACAGCAGAGGTGACGACAGCCACCGTGTATTGGGATCCTGAGCAAAAGCTTGTCCTTCTGAAGGAGGGAGTGATGGAGACAGACGGGGACGCCTACGGGTACCTGAATGACACCCTGTCCACCTCAGGCTGGAGTGTCCTGGAGATCCGTGCTGGGTATGGGAAGACTCCTGAAGCAGACGAGGTCACGTTCTTCCTGGCTGGTTATCTTGAAGGGTTCCTCACTGCCCAGTAAGTGACGCAGAAACTGGATCATTTTGTTAATTTTTGACAAAGGCCTGCCTGTATTCCCTTTGGAGCATACAATACTTGATACTTGCTCTGCCTCCTCAGGCAGATGATAGACCACTACACCAACATGTATCCTCAGCTGATCGAAGATCCAAAGGTCCTGGGTCCAGTTAAGACCTTCATGGCGTAAGTCTTCCCTTCAGCAGCTCTGTAACCACATACACGCTGACGTTGATATTTCAGTTTTTCACATCATTTTGTCAGTTCAGCTCTTGGTAAAGTCATGTGACACAGAGCAGCAGAATGAAATTCACTCAACTTTATTTTAGGTTTATATAAGTAATGTAGGCGACGCCTCCTTACGTCTCTGTGCTGATGATACAGTTGTTTATTGTCGAGCTAGAACAGTTGCCAAGGTTTTCCAGCTTCTACAGTCTGCATTCGACATCGTCCAGTCAGATTTGTTCCATTTCAAACTGGTGCCAAATGCTGATAAAACCAAAGGGATGTTGCTTCAAACAGGAAGTTGGTTCCAGCAGTTCTTTCTTCTATTTTATCTTTGAAGGGTGTTCCTACTGAGTTTGTGGACTCTTACTAATACTTGGGAATTTTGGTCGCTGCACATCTCTCGCATGTCAAAAACTTGATAAAGAAGCTGAAATTAAAAGTGGGTTTATTTTTCAGAAATAGTTATTGCTTAACTGAAACACAGAAACTCCTTGTAGCTGCTATTTTCCTACCGGTCGTTGATTATGGTGACATTAATGCTCCTGCCAGCACGTTGTAGATGTTGGATGCTGTCTATCACGGTGCATTAAGATTCATATCGGGCTGTAACTACCGTACCCACCACTGCACCCTGTGTTCACTGGTTAACTGGTCACCATTAACTTCACGCAGACTGACATTTTCATCTTTAAATCGCTTCTTGGTCTGCTGCCTTCATATACAGGTATCTCCTCCCACATGTCACGTCAACAGTGCAGTTACAGCGTGCGTTCTCAGGACATCATTACCTGCAGTGTTTCCTCAGTGTGCACTGAACTTGGCAAAAAGGCCTTTTCTTACTCTGCTCCTGTTTCCTGGAACACCTTGCAACAAGACATGAAGATGTCCACTTTGACCTCTTTATGGGATTTTAAACAATTGATAAGTTCAATAGAAAAATCAAAGCAAACATGTTCCTGTTTTAATTTTTTTTTAAGTATTTTACCTTGTTTTAAATGGCACCTTGATTTAATTTAATTTTCTAACACTACTTTTTTTAATTTTTATTTATTTGCATTCAATTGTTGTTTATTGTCGTGTGTACCTCGTCTGTGTTCTTTGTCTAAAACGGGTCTCTCTTGTAAATGAGTCCCCGTGATTCAATGAGACTAACCTGTATAAATAAAAGTTTGAATGAAAGAAAAAGGTACGAGAAACAAAGCAGGTTACATTTTATCGTTCTTCGCTGGTAACATTTTCAGATTTAAGTTTGAAGACGAGTCTGTGTTTCAGCAGCTCAACCATGTGTCTGTGGAGAATGTGGCTCAAATATTTGTGTACATGATGATGAATAACGGATAAAGAGGACATGTCGCCTTCCTAGGGACCAGGACTCATGGGTCAGGGAGCAGGTGAAGCTGAACAAGAGCTCCAGTCCTCTGTGGAAACATGTCGGCTTCATCGTGGCCCAGATGGACGGGCTGCAGGCAGGAGTGGCAGAGTGGGCCAAGAGGCAAGGGAGGAAGGTAATGTCAACCGAACAAAAACACAGAAAGACAACATTCATCAAGATTAAAATATAAAAGCAGAAGTAGCAGCTTCAGTAGTTTCATGTGGATTTAGGGACATTTCTTTATCGCCTACAACTGAAGGCAACAGGGTGATCATGTTTTAGCCCTGTCTGTGTGTTCATCATGTTAGCAAAATGTTTCATGAACTACTGAAGGGGTTTTAATGAAACACTCAAAACTAATCACTAAATGTACATTTACATATAATTAAATCAACATGGCCACCAGTGCTAGTCTTCAACGACACAAAATATCTACAACTGTCTCTTCTCAAATATGATCTTAGTCCAAAAGGCAGGTAATGCTAGACCTTTATTTTTTTTTAAGTCTATTAAAATCTTGATGATACACGATCAAAAAAAATTTCAAAGTCAAATTAAACAACTTCTTTTCAAGACGTTTTGCTCTCAGTTCCAAAAAGTCTGCCAAGTGTGGAGCTCCAAGCTTTAAAAGCTGGATGTCTTCTGCAGAATAGAAGTCCTGTTGTGGGTCAACATCATTCAAGGACGTGATCTTTGATTAATATAAATAAACGACACTGAGTGTTTAAATGCCGGCAAAAATCAGTGTTTATTGAAGAGGTGTAACAATGTTGATCAGTCGAAGCATCAGTATCCAAAAAGAACAACATGTGTCTCCAGTCCATCACAGGGACACATGGAGACAAATGACCATTCACTCTCTCACTCACACCTAGGGACAATTTCCATCCATCCATTATCTTTACCCGTTTATTCCATTTTGGGTCACGGGGGTCGCTGATGCCCATGTCCAGCAATCACTGTGCGAGGGGCGGGGTACACCCTGGACGGGTCGCAAGTCCATCACAGGGACACATAGAGACAAATGACACAAACAACCATTCACTCTCTCACTCACACCTAGGGACAATTTAGAGTTACCAATCAGCCTAACATGCATGTTTTTGGTCTGTGGGAGGAAACCGGAGTACCCGGAGAAAACCCACGCATGCGCAGAGAGAACATGCAAAGGGTCCCCAGCTGGGATTTGAACCGGAGCGACCTACTCGCTGAGAGGCGGCAGCTCTACTGACTTCACCACCGTGCCGCCCACCATGCTGCCTACCATGAAATACCCAAAAATCAAAATAGCATGCTTGATTAATGTGAATGTGTCTCAGTGAAATGTGAAAACAAAATAAATATAACATGATGATAAACACAAAATTTATCATGGGTGTTTCAGTGTTTGCAAAAGTCAAAGTTCTGCTTCAGAGTCCCACGTGGTTATGAAGCTGCTCATGTAACATCAAAGCACACCAAGAAGAATGCCAAATCATAAACGATGGAAACCTTGATAAAAAGAAAGGGAACAGAGAGAGAGAGACTTAGCTCTTCAGTTCAGTTCTGTAGATGCAAAAACAAAATAGAGAATGTCTTTGTTGGGATCCAGCACTTCGCTGAAGGACTTAATTTGTATTTTGAACATATTTATTATTCTTTATTTTTCCACAGAAGTCCCCGTCGCCTCCAACTCCTTTGCATTTGACTGTCAATTCGACAGGAGGCGAGGAGACAAGCCCATTGTGGCCATCTTGATCTGAACCAGTTGATTTGCAGCTGCCAAGTTCATCTGATTTGCCAGTGTCCTTTTCCACTTTTGCCTCAAGCCGGGCAGGACACGTCAACAGGAAAATAACAATTAGTACTAGGATTGTTCTAATCCTTATTTTCATCACCATTGCTGCCCACATTCCTAAATTTAACTAGCTAATCCCAAGACCACCTATCTTTACCAGCATTTTCCCTAAATTCACCGTGCAACATTCATCACCAAACATGATGTACAAACATGTACCTCCTTTCACTGCCATCATCCAATCTAACGCCCGATGGTCCTGCAGTGCAACAGTGCTCATCACATTTAATTGCTCACCTACAATCCTGAGAGTCTTGAACATATGGTTCACAAATTGTTAGAGAAATAAAATTAAGCAATTCCACGTTCTTATTCACAATTACTGGTATCTAAGTGCAGAAGTTCCTCGCTACTTCGCAGGTCTTTTATCGCGGACTTGCTCTATTGCGGTTTTTCAAAATAAGATTGGACATGACGCACAATTGGCTGATTGATGGATGAGCCGCACGATCGGCATGGAATTTTTATTTAAAATTATTTAGCACCTCCTGCACCTTTGTGCAGCCCTTACTGCAGTATAAATTTCCCGCTGCAGCTGATCAGCTGTTCTGCGTGCAG